CCCCCCCCCCCCCCACCTCAAAGTGTAGGGACACCACTGAACACAGCACACAAGATAAGTAGAGATTACAAAAATAACATGGCAGGAGAAGAAGTTCCTTCTTTCAGAAAAAAACCAATCTGGCCAATACCAGTTTCCTATTTAATACTGTGAATGTGGGGGCCATTCTGTGATAGAGATGGTCGGGCAGACACAATAGACTCGTCACAAAGCTCACACACCGGCATAAAATCCTTATTTTCAAAAATTAGTTATTTACAGCCGAGTCCAAAGAGATTTACAGGTGACTTGGCTGTAAATAAGATGATGTTCTTGTGCTAAGCTTTGTGATGTAACCAGTGTACTGCAATGTCCTATGTTGTTGCCCTGCAGCTACAATACACATCCATGTGTGAATGTCTGTTCCATAGGTGAAAGCATGGCTGGGAATCTCTATGTGAATCACAGGTGAATGTCTGAGCTATACCTTCTATAAAACACATATGTATTAGTAATATGTTATATGATGATGATGAACCAGTTCCAGTGGATTGGGAGAAATGTTTTAAGGTGTGGGAGTTAACCCGTCCCTGCCCCTCTTACACTGTTGTCTGATCGGCCCATAGGTCATCCAGTGCCATGCATCCCCCTGTGTGCTCTGTACAGTAACATGCAATGTCTGCCTGCTCTCTCTCTCTCTTTGTTTGGCCGTCTCCTATGGTGATGCCATGGTCCCCATTTTCCGGGATGGGATGATGGATTGCCAGGAGATGTCCCAGCCACTCTTTGTCCCACTAAAAGCATGCATACTCCTAATGATGGGCGGGGATCATTACCTCATCCTATGACCGTCCAGCCAATCGCAACCCCGATCTCCCGGCGCCTAGAGGCAGTCGGAAACGTCGGGTCCAATGAGAAAAACCCCAGCCCGGTTTCCATGGCAACGGGGTTGTATATAACGATCTGTGTTGGACCATGTGTTGCAGGTTCTCTTACACCGACCTCCTTAGAGTCGTACTGTAAGAAGGCATCCCTCTCCTCCTTCCTCTCGCCCTCTTCTCAGCAGCACAGCAAACATGGTAAGGACTGGCACACAGGTGGGGGGGACAAAGATGATGATGTGATGACAAGGAAGATGCTTTGTTGTTGCTCTGGCTGCTTGTGGCTGAGGAAGCATCCTTATAACAATAGATGGAGCAGTAGATGATGGCAGAGGCTGAACACACACACACTGGCCTTTGATGTCTCATTACATGGGGATGCTTGTTATTCTTCATGGTGTACTGTAGGAGATCTGTGATGTGATGAGCTCCTAGGAAATGTCCTGTTGTCCCCTAGTCGTTGTGACATTGCTGGGAGACTGCTTCATGTCATTTCTGTCTATGTAAGTGCATGTCTGGAGCACTGTATACCACGCCCTGTCCTCTGAGACCACATCCAGCCCTGTGCTCCAGCACAGCACAACTCACATTTTCCTGGCTCCAGCCCTGTCCTATTAACCCTCCCATGTCCATGGCATGTGGAGTCTGCTGGTGACAGCTTGTCTTTTTTCAGGGACAATAGGGATCATTCTCATACCTGTAAGCCTTAGTAAATCCACCCTATAGAATCCTCCTATGAGAGCTTGCTATGTGATGGGTATCTGAGACAGAGCATGTCTGGTGAATTGAAGTTTTGTCTGCTTGTCCTCCCATCTGCCAGTATGAGGCCAGAAGATATTGTAAAAGGAGCACAAGATGATCAGTCTGTGGAAGGTGAAAGCCATGGACTGTTCATTGTTCTTAATGTGAATGTGTCATTTCTGAAGAACATGACTGGATAGTCTATAATAAGATGGCTTGTCTGGGGCTGGTGGTAAGCTGAATGGTGAAAGGTATGCCAGGTACTACAAACACCCACACACAGCCATTCACAAAGACCTTAATGTTGCAGTGGGTGTGGTATCAGCACCAGCTACCTACATTGCTCATTGTTTTCTCTGATCCTATAGAAGGACCAGAGTGTTGTAACACCAAGTATACTGCCAGCCAGCAGTATTGT